AAAAAAAAAAAAAAACTATATATCAACTAGCTATCAATAATCAATTAACTTATCATTCTTGGGCTCTTAGCAAACTTTTAATCATCAATCAGCTCGACTTTAGTAATTAATCGATCAATTGTTCAAACAAAATTATATATATAAAATCATAATATTTATAAAATCAACTATTAACCAAACAAAATTATCAATTAAAAATCATAATATCACCTAATATATTTGTAAATCATAATTGCCAATTAATAAAATTTCATTTATTTTCTCTCCAAAAGAAATTACAAATACATATTTACTTTAATTTTAATTTTTATATATATATGAATTTTCTGTCTTTCTTCGTTACAATTCAATATTTCTATTTGTAAACCAATAACTGAACTTTAATCGATGATTCTTTTAACACAAGGGTTATTATGTAATAGCTATTACTAATACTAACTAAATATAATTCATACTAAATGATATATTAAAAATTATAAAAAGTTCTATTACAATTTTTTTAAAACTTTTTATTGCTTTTAAGAATTTTTTTAATAAGCTAATTGGCTTTAGTGGTATAACCAAACATATTAAAATTTCATAAATAATAATAATAACAATAAAATAATAATTCTTTTTAATATAATCAATAGGTCATGATCCCTCGAGTATATAAAAACTACATTATCTATTTCATTTTGTTCAATAAAAATAGTGATTAAGTTGAATACTTTTAATCATTTTTATTAATAATAAAAATTTTGAAATGTGATACTCTATAATATCTAACTTATAATTTTTATATTATATACATACATGTAACTTATAACAATTTAAATATTTGTGCACGTGCACAAGATCGAATACTAGTTCTAAGCAGTGTTCGAAAAGTCGGCCTAGACGGCCGCCTAGGCGCTAGGCGCCGGTACAACGCATACGATTTGGCCAAATCGGCCATAATAATCAGCCGGGCGGGCTCGGCGGCGCCTAGTTGGGCCTAGGCGGGCCTAGGCGGAGCTAGGCGGCCTCGGCGACTACGCGGTTTCGGTGGGACTAGGCGGCCGAGGCGGGTTTTAGGCGGTTTTTACATTTTTTTTTACTAAATGCATTTAGTTTAAATAATAAATCTTATAATTTATTATTTTATAATTTTTTTATATTTATCTTATGTTGTGTAATATTTAAAACATAACATGTAGCTAATGTGTTTGATAAAATTACAATGAGAAGAAGTTATATTGTGGTTATGTACTTATTTTGACTTGGAGTTTTTTTTTTATAATATAATATTAATAATATTATTGGGACTTATGTGTATAGATTAATTATAAGTTATAATTTCATTAGTGAAATTGTAAAAATAAATAAAAAATAATATATTTATTATAATTTCTAGGCCCCGCCTAGGCGCCGCCTAGATCCCGACTAGGCGCTAGGCGCTGGTCGGACGCCTAGCGATTTCTAGAACACTGGTCCTAAGTAAACCTACTTTATTTCTAGAAGTTAATAAATGAAAATTGTTATTTCTTCAAAATTTCAAATTCACAACCCAAGGTATAGCTATTGATTAAAAGTAATTGCTATGTTTTAGCACAATGGGATGGAGAGAAATTTTTTATTATGTAGAATAAATTTATTTATATTTTTCAAAATTAGTGGGTTCTCCAAGAAGAACCAATTTATAACTACACAAGCAATTAGATTTGCTATCATATATAAAAAAAAAAAAAATAGTAAATGAATTAGGTCAACCAAAAATCACACCATAAAAGTCAGCCCCATATTTTTCACTAACTTCAACAAATAAATAAACAAACATATATATATTTTGTCCACTTGTTCTTCTAAGTAGAATTTTCAAAACTTATTCAACAACCTGTGTACAAAGACCATTAAAAGCACACTTGCTATATAACCTATATACAGCCAAAAACCGCAGGCCATGACGCAAAGCAGAGGATAACTCAATTACCCAAAATACCCTTTCATGGACTTGCAGAAGATGAACAAGCTGATGAATAAGAAGTTTCCTGCCTTGCTTCCCTCAAATACCTGAGTAGGGTTTCAGCCTGCAGTCAAAAGTGAAAAAAATATAAATAATTAAATTATATTTATATATAAAAGTACACATAAAATAATTAATTATTAATATATGATAGACAATGACACATCACACTCAGTGAGAGCGACACTGTAGATTTTTTTTTTTTTTAAATTGAAAAAGTAAGTTCGAATAATTGTTAGGCATGTTACATTATTACTAATATAATTATATAAATTCTTCGGTACAAACCGGTCGAATCTAGCTCAATTCGTTAACGAGATGACCATATAAATGCGTTTGAGCTCTGCTCGTTGTTTGAATCGTGATCACGAACGATTCATTCCATTTAATAGCTCTATAATTATGCTATAAAATGTCGTAATTTTAATTTATAAAAATATGCAAGTACGTGTATTTATTGAAAAATAAGGTTTTGGTTTGTACCAAAAAAATAAAAATAAAAATAAGGTTTTGGCTAAGCATTAGTTCTGCTTAAAGGGAAAAAATAAAATACTGAGAATCACAACTTTATTGTTGGATTTTAATTAAAGGTGTCTGAACTAAAGGACAAAGATTCATGAACACACACAAATATAAATAATAAATGGAAAAAAAAAGATGCAAATTAAACTAATCCCGCAATTATATTAAATATTCAAATTACTGACCTTGTGCTTAGCCCTGGTCGTCCCGGTCAGCGACAACGCCACCAGTGGCGGCACCCCACCTTCCGCCACCACCAATCCCTTGTTCAACGCACTCTCACTGCACACCTGCAAAAGGGCCGATACTGCGAATTCCTTCACCCTATCCCCGCCGTCCTCCAACGCCTCCACCAGGGCGGCGATTCCGTTCTCCCTCACCACCGCCTCCCGCCCCGCCTCAACCCCGGCCAGGCTGCCCAGCACCACCGCCGCCTTCTCCGCCAGTCCTTCCCTCCTTCCCTCTGGTGCCACCAGCGCCACCAGCGGCCCCACGGCCCCGGCCGCCACCGCCCGCTCCTTGTTCGGCGCCGCCGTGCACAGCTTGTACAGCGCGGCGAGCGCGTCTTTCTTCCCACGGGTGGAACCGCCGGTGAGCAGCGCCACGAGCGGCGGAATCGC